ATAGTTATCATCTTGTCTAGATGGGTCTGGTGAAAGGAGATGGGGATAAGATTCCTAAGATTCAATAGTGAATAACTGTTAACATGACTAATCACGACTGTCACACTTGTAAAGGTAGAAGTTTTGTAACAAAAAAAGGGGAGTGGTTAATCTTACAGTCCAGAAACAGAGGACCCTAGGACGATCAAGAGAGTAGCGCACAAGCAGATGCGAGACCTTATCCAGAGAAGCAGCAGCGCCAGAGATGAAGGCAGAGATGGGGGCATGGAGAGAGGGCGTGGCTGAGGACTCTAGATTCATCAATTAAGAAGAGAAGGACTAAGAACTGGTGACCAGGAGCAGAATTATAGAATGTGCCCTTTGGAGATGTAAATTATTATATACTTTTAACTCATGGTATATGGTATACATTATAATCAATACAATGAAACAAGTTATATGATTTGTTGAATGTGAAACTGATGATGTGCCTGTAAACTTTCACTCAATCCACAATAAAAACCTTAAATTTAAAAAAATAAATAAAAGCCATTGTTGTTGAGTCAATCCCTACGCATAGTGACATGCCAGGATAGAGTGAAACTGCTCCACAGGGTTTCCGTGGAAACCTATCATCTTTATGGGAACACATGCCCCATCTTTCTCCTTACAAGTGGCTGATGGGTTTGAAGTACCTTTTAGTTGCCAAATGAATGATTAAGCCACCATGGCTCCTTTAACATTATGACTAGTGTATAAAATAGATGGCTAGAAATAAGACTCGAAAAATGTGGAGGAAATCAGCAAGGCCATTCACAGTATAAACAATATATTAGCAGAAACAAAAAGTGAACTGGAGAAAAAAACACTATTTTGGGGTTTTTTTTTGAAAGAATGGCAAAGAAAATTGTATTTTAGATGTTCTTGATAAAGTATCAAACAGTAAATTCTTATGTAAAAAGTATTAAAGTTAATCTCCTACAAAGCTTAGAATTCTATATCCAATTTTATCACAAATTTCATGTCAGTACCTCCCCATCCCACTGCTAGGGTTGGTGTCTCCAAAAGCAAAGCCTCTTGTGTTATAAGGATCAAATGGGATAACACATACAAAATTTCCTTGAAAACTATAAAGTTACATATAAGTATACGGAATTATCATCATTATTACATATTACTTATAAATAAACAAGAATATATAGAATGCAGATTTTTAAACTATTTTTATTTAATTGACAAAATAATTTTAAAGCTTATCCTGATAGTATCCTGGAAAATATATTTACAAGGGCACCCAATTAAAAATGCAGATTCACCACATACCTGCATTCCCATTCCAAATCCCCATTAAAATAACAGTAAAGGAATAAGAAAAAGAAAGTTACCTATTAACTTGTAAATATAAATGATTAAGTAAGGAGCTCTGGTAGCACAGTGATTATGA